CTGTTCTGCGCCTGGTAGGACATGGAGCAGCATCCCTGGTCTCTGTCCCTTAGATGCCAGGAGCACCAACCCCAGTCATGATGACCAAAGATGTCTATAGACGTTGCCCGCTGTCTGCTTGGGGGGCAACACCCCGCCCACCGCCCCCCACCCAGGGAAGTTGCATACACTTTGCGCACACTAAGTGAATCTGGTGGTCCTACCCAGCAGCCACGGACAAAATCGGCGAAGGAACCGTTGAGGGAGGCAGCACCTGCCTCCAATCTACAGATGCCTGTCATGCCCCAACCTGCCCCTGGGGCCTGGACGTGTAGAGATTTGTTGATAATTGTGGGAGATCTGAGGGCTATGCTTCCCCTGGGACGGGTATCCCAGGACTGGGGACCGGTTTCTTGCATACACAGCCTCCAGCTTGTGGACGATGCACAAGTGGGCCAGTTATTTTGGATAGTTTAGCTGCAGATCTGTAAATCTAAAATTCCTATGCTGGGGGCACCTTGGTGGCTAAGTGGGTTAAGCATCTGCCTTCAGCTCACGTTATGAACTCAGGGTCCTGGGATGGAGCCCTACGTCAAGGCTCTCTGCTTGGTGGGGAGTCTGCTTCTCCCTCTCCCTCTGCTCCTTCCCCTGCTCTTTTGTGCTTTCTTTCTCTCTCTCGCTCTCTCAAATAAATAAAATCCTTTTTAAAAATTAAAAAATAAAATTCCTATTCTGCTAGAGCAATAACGTGGGGTCACCTTCTCAGAAAAACTGCCCTAGGAGAAAAAAATTGAGAGCCATCCCCTGTGCTGGGAGAGCATAGGAGGGCCCGTGGCCCCAGCCCAGAGCTCTGAGGGGGCCCATTGTCAAATGGCCTTGCTGTTCTGCTGAGAGCCCCTGACCCATGTGAAATTTGGAGAACCCAGGGCCAGAGTCCCTGAGAGACAGGGCCAGGATACAGCTTAACAATATCTGCAGGATCCTTTCTGGGCCTGGGATATCCCAGGGGGACAGGGGCAGGTGGCATGGGCATTGGGAGTTAGTTTATCAAGGTCTTTCAGGAGAGGACCAACACCTGTTTTTGGTAAACTCCTTAAACCAATGGATGCAGAATCAGGCTGTATTGTGTGCAAGGTTCTCCTTGAGGTCCTGGGAGGAATCCAGGGCATCCTAGATGTGGATTTTTTCTCCTTAGAGCTCTGTAGTCTACTTGAGCAGATGGAAGATAAATTGGTGAGTTAAAGCAGCAAGACAAGTTTTAAGTAGCTCAAAGCAACAATAAAAGAAATGTCACAAAACTGTGTCTTGTCAGAATGTGGTCTAGGCCCACCACATAATCCTCCATCTATCCTCTCTTTCTGCCCATGCACCCATCCATCCACCCACCCACCCACCTACATACCTATCCACCCATGAATGCATGCATGCATGCATCAATCAGTCCATCCATCCATGCATGTATCCATCCATCCATCTACCCATCCACCCACTCACATACGCACCTAACCATTCATCCATTCAACCATCCACTCATCCATCCATCCATCCACCCATCCAGCCATCCATCTACTCATCCATCCACTCATTCATCCATTCACCCATCCATCCACCCATCCATCCTCCCACCTATTCATCCATTCACCTACTCAGCCATCCATCATCTGTCTTCTTTCTGACTTTCCCACTTTTTCTTTTTTGTACAATGAAAATGTATTAAGATCTGCTCTGGGCTGGAGGATATAAGGGCAAACGCTGCCCTGTACTCCAGAAACCAGCACGGTTCAGGAGAGCATTTATCCTACTTTATCTGAGAGCTTGCTGCCAAGAGCCCTCATCTGCCCCCTCCTTCCACCAGACAGGGAGCCCCTGGACAGTTGAGGAGTCATCATCCATCCCTGTCTGCCTCAGGGCCTATAGCAAAGGGGCTGGCATGTGGCTGGAATACTCAAGTGTGTGGTGACTTGAATTAGACTGGAGGGTGGTGAGGGTTTAGACAACCCAGGTTTGTGGGACAGGTTTGGAAAAACTTAAGGAATGGTGGTGATAGGCATATGTTAAAACAGGACTTAGAGGACCTCTTGACGGGACTGTCTCTGGGGCCCCTTTTCTCATCGAGTTTCAGGATGGGGAGATGGGGGGGTCTCCTGCTCCTACCTCCTTGCCCTGTGTTACGCCCCTGGTTCTGAAACGTAGCCACGCTTGATGTATCCTTGTGGATCCTCATGTGGGAGCTGAAGGAGGGCATGGGGCTTGGGGTCCAGACTGGACCAGCCGTCTCTGGGTGGCTGGGGGCACCCCTGGACAGGATACAGTGCCTGTAGGACTCCCGGCCCTGGCTCATAGACGTTCCTCAGAAGTTCTGCTGTCCCCTGCCCCCTTTTCCCCTGGGCTGACCTCTCTGTTCTCACAAAGCTACCCTTTCCTTCCCGCCTTGAAATCTGATAATGAAACTAATACCCAATATTTTTGCCTCCAAGAGAGGCAGGAGATAAACAGGAAGGCATGAGGGATTAAGGTGTCTTTTTGAGGAAGGGGCTGGGGCCCAGCTGGGAGCGGGGTGACATCTCTGCATGGAGCCGAGGGACCCAGATGGGGGCTGCTTTGCCTGATGCATTTTTCCATTTGTGCAGAGAAAATAAAACACAGAGAAAAGAAAACAAGCCGTAAAATACTTTGCAGAAGCCTGAGCGTGGGCAATTGCCACTTGATGTTCCCTGACAGCTCCAAGAGGAGGCAGGAGGGAGGGGAGCCCTGCCTTTTGATGTTTGGCCTCTGAGCTTTCTTTTGTGTGACCGGTTGTTTGGGAAGAAGTTTTTATTGGTGTAAGGTGCATATGGAAGAGAGATATCACTCGGGGTTCCCCTTGGGGTAGGGAGGGTGGTTGCTGAGCTCCCAGGAGAGGCTCAGAGGCTCAGGCAGCCCCACTGGGGGTTTGGGGGACAGCTGGCACTGTCTTTACAGAGGAGGACACAGGATTAGCATTGGCCTCCAAGAAGGACCAGAAGATGCTGCTAGTGAGGCTTTTCCTGGTGCAAGAGAACCTTGAGGAAGCCAGAGTTGGGTGATCTTCCCGGATCCCTGTCCCTGGGCAGGTGTGCCAGGTCCTGTGACTTCTGAGCCAGCAGGAAAGGTCTAGATTCTGTGCTGTAGTCCCACTGTTCCTTCCAGTGATGTGGGTCCTTTCCTCTGGGGTGGTGGGCCAGGAGCCAGAAGACCTGTGTTCTAGTCCTAGACTCCCATTTATTGCCTTGGTGGTCCTGGGCTGGTAGGTCACTTAACCCTGAGCAGTCCGTAGCATCCTCTTCTGGCTGAGTGAGTCCAAAGGGACAGTGGATGATGTATTCACAATGGTCCCTTGTGCTGATGGAAAGGCAAGGCTGAGCCAGAGGCTGGAGGTGCTGAGGGACCGTTGATGAGGCTTTCAAGAATCATTTTCTGGCCTAATTTGCCTTCTAGTTGCTTCCAGACTCAGATGTGAACTGAACCTTTCCTCTTGTGGTCTCCACAGTGCTCCTGCTAAGCTATGTCCTTTTCTGCTTGTCAACTGAGTGACTAACGGGAATGCCTCTAGCAAGAACAATCTAAAGAAACTTGTAACGTCAGAGAGAAAAATTAAAGAGGCAAATGTATATTTTTTAATCACAAAAAGAGTAAATGAAAAAGAAGCTGGTGCAAATTTGTGCAGCTTGTGTGATAGAAGAGACACATAGTTTTTAAACCCTTCGTATGTAAGAGCATTAGGCATAAGAAAAAAAAACCCACCTTATTTGAAAAGTGGGCAAATGGCATGAACAGGCAATGCACAAAAAAAGAAAGAAAGAAAAAGAAAAAAAAAGAAAAAGACATGAAGAAATGTCCAACCTCACTGGTCATCAAAGACACATAAATTAAAATCATGTGTGTGTGTGTGTGTTCCAGACGAATTGGCAGAGATGAAAAATAAAGAGTACAGATAGCACATGGGTACTGTTGTTTTTTTCAAGGGTGTGGTGTGGCGAGAGGGTAGCTCTCAGATCCCGCTGGAAGGGACTGGAAGCTAGGACTGCCTTTCTCCAGGGCAGTTTGGCAGTCTGGATCCTGAGTTAAATGCATGAGGATCCAAGTTACCCTAGGAACGCTGTCTTGAGAAACCCACAGGGCAACAGCTGTCAGAGAGGAGCACATTTGCGCAAGTCTAAAGGTGTTACCGACATGTTGTTTGTAACAGTGGCAAACCTGAAACAACCTAACTGCTCAGCCCCAGGGAGGTCCTGCTTCGAAATGCACCACTGGAGGGGCACCTGGGTGGCTCCGTGGTTGTGCTTCTGCCTTTGGCTCAGGGCGTGATCCTGGGGTCCTGGGATTGAGTTCTGCATTGGGCTCCCCACAGGGAGTCTGGTTCTCCCTCTGCCTGTGTCTCTGCCTCTCTGTGTATCTCTCATGAATAAATAAATAAAATCTTAAAAAAAAAAAAAAAAGAAATGCACCCACTAGGGCTTCCAAAGAGCCCCTTACAGATAGGTGTACAGGGGTGACTGGACAGCTGTCCACAATCATGAAGAACCGTATCTGGCATTAAAGGATGCTCATCCTTCTGGGAAAATAGGCCGCAAAGGGGGAGATGCACGAGTATGATCCACGTCTATGGGAAAGAATTATGTCACTCCACAGCTGAGCAAATGTTAATTAAAGCCTGCAAGGGAAGACCCCTTGTTCACCGTGGTTGCTGGAAATCTAAGTGTGTTTTTTTTTTCCACTTTTTTGCTTTTGTTTATCAAATGTCTGGCACTAAGCATTTCTTTAGACATTACATAAAATGCAACTTGAAACACACTTAGCACAAAGGCAGTGCAAACCATGTTGAAGACTGAGCCAGAGTTATCCTGGCCATATGGAAGCCCGAGTTATCCTGGAGGTGGGAGCCTGCAGAAGCAGGTCACAGGCATCACGGGGGCTGAGTGGGATGCCCTGTGTGTCAGGGGAGGGTGGTGGGGAGATGAGTCAGGGACAGACGTTAAAGCCAAGGGCGTGGGACCCCGCCGGAGCCACCTCTGCCAGCAACATGTTCAAGGTAATTCAGAGGTCTGTGGGGCCAGCCAGCCTGAGTCTGCTCACCTTTAAAGTCTGTGCGTCACCTAAAAGGGACTCACCTCACAAAACTTCTGTGAAGGTTAATGAGCTTTCACTCTACTTGGTTCCTGAGGGTCAATCTAAATATGTGGAGGAGCCAAGGACCCAGCTTGAAGAAAGCATTTCACATCTCCGACCTTATTGCGAGCCATATACAAGTTGGTGTCAGGAAATGTACTCACAAACAAAGCCCAAGATGCAGAGCTTGGTTCAGTGGGGGTTAGACAGCTATGAATATCTCCAAAATGCACCACCTGGATTTTTTCCAAGAGTTGGTGTTATTGGTTTTGCTGGCATTGTTGGACTTCTTTTGGCTAGAGGGTCAAAAATAAAGAAGCTGGTGTATCCACCTGGGTTCATGGGACTAGCTGCCTCTCTTTATTATCCACAACAAGCCATCGTATTTGTCCAGCCAGGAAATGTGAAGAATTCACCTGGAAATAAGTAGAATGCTCCATGCTCTGCCCATTTTAATCAGTTATAGGTAAACATTGGAAACTCCATGCATTTTCTACAGAAAAATGGCAGAGAAGTCAGTAGTGAATGTAGTAAATTGGCTTTCTTCTTCAGGAAAAACTATACCAGGCTTTTTTGTTATCTTGGGTGATACCATACTACCAGTGGACTAATCAGAAATGCTTTCACCTAGAGATAATGTCCAGCATTAGAACTCCTGGTTCTCATGTTGCTATTTATGTACATAATTAAAATTCTGAATTAAAAAAAAATAAAGCCAAGGTGTGGAGGACAAGAAGGATGCAAGCAGATGAAGAGGGGGCTGGGGAGAAGAGGGTCCGGGGGCGGGGGCGCAGAGGAGCATCCACAAAGCCACAGAGGGGGCAGGCCTGGGTGGGGGTCCTTGTGCATGGCATGCTCTAGAAACTGAAAAAATTGGGGACAGCTCAAGCATAAGAGGAGGGTGGGGTGGCGGTGGGCAGAGCTAAGGAGAGGAGGTAGACAGAAGCAGAACCAGCTTATTCAGAGCCCCAAGGGCTGTGACAACCGATTTAGATTTTACCCAGAGGAGAAACGGGAGGGGCATCAAAAGACTTTCAGCTGTTGACGGACAGTCCTCAGATTGGAGCTCAGAACTCCTGCTCTGGTTGTGGGGTTGAGGCAGCCAGGAGGCCCAGCTCAGCCCACGGGCTGGAGAGGAGGGGGTGGATGTGGGCAAGGTGCCTCTGAGCCCACTGGAGGCCCTAGGCCCGAAGCTGGAGTGTGCATTCAGGAGCCAGGGGCATAAGGCAGAGGGGAGAGGGCGCTGAGTCCTGAGGGGCATGAAGGGAACAAGACAGAGGGAAGCAGGAGGAAAAGCAGGTGAGAGGATGTCCAGGGCCCCCTCAATGGCCCCGAGGCCAGGTGTGTGGCCAGTGTGCCATGGGGAGTTGCCCAAGGGGAAGGTGGGGAGAAAGCAGGTGCAGCAGCCTCCCCTCCCCAGCCCTCAGAGGGAGGCCTGTGGAGCAGCCTGGTGGCCAAAGCACAGGGGAGGGCGCCCTGGAAGCTGTGCACGACTCTGCCCCGGCGCCCAAACAGAAGACATCAAGCTCTGGAGGCTTAGCCAACAGATTTCTCACGGTTCTGGAGGCTGGAAGTCTGAGGTCAAGGTGTCGGCAGGGTTGGTTTCTCCTGGGGCCTCGCTACTTGGCTTGCAGACCACCTTCCCTCTGTGCGTGTGCACTGCTGTGTGTGCAAGCTGCCTCTTCTTATAAGGACTCCAGTCAGACGGGATGAAGCCCCCCCCCCCCCAGCCCAGGGCCTCATTTCCATGTAATCAACTCTGAAACCATCAGTCTCCCAGTCCTGTTTTCAGTTGGGGGTCAGGGCCTGTGCATGTGAAGGGGGGGCAGCATTCGGGCCTTCCCAAGCAGGACCTGGGGGGCCAGGGGGAGGCCAGCCCCACCTCCCAGCTTTGAGATGTGTGCCCGATGGGGTGGGGGCCGGCAGCTTATTGGATGGAAGAGAACAATCTCCCTATGGGGGAAGGGGGAGCTTCCGCTGTGGTTTGGATACTGCCTGGATGGGTAGGTGCTTCTGGATGGAAACGGGGGGCCAAGGAGCAGCTCCCAGGGAAGAACTGTGGTCCAGCAGTGGGGCTGGGGATACTGGGGACAGTCCCTCCTGAGGTCCAGCAGTGGAGGTGGGGGGACACTGGGGACAGTCCCTCCTGAGGTCCAGCAGTGGGGCCAGGGGGAGCTGGGGACAGTCCCTCCTGAGGTCCAGCAGTGGAGCTGAGGACAGTCCCTCCTGAGGTCCAGCAGTGGAACTGAGGGGAGCTGGGGACAGTCCCTTCTGAGGTCCAGCAGTGGGGCCAGGGGGAGCTGGGGACAGTCCCTTCCTGCCCCTGCCCTGACGCTTCTCCCTGCCTCCCTGCAGCCTGTAACTGCAACCTGCATGCCCGGCGCTGCCGCTTCAACATGGAGCTGTACAAGCTGTCGGGGCGCAAGAGCGGGGGCGTCTGTCTCAACTGCCGCCACAACACTGCAGGCCGCCACTGCCACTACTGCAAGGAAGGCTACTACCGCGACATGGGCAAGCCCATCACCCACCGGAAGGCCTGTAAAGGTAGGCAGGGGCGGGGCCTCGAGAACTCGGTCCTCCTGTCCTCTCCTCCATCCTGTGCTTGTCCACGTCACCTGCCTTGACCAAGCCTGTGTCACCTGCTCCCTCGTGCGCACGCCTGGGCGTGCGCACGGCCTCCCTGGTATTTGGGGGTGCGAGTCCACAAACAAAGGGGCGATGGAGACGTGGCCCCAAGGAGAAGAAAGGAGAAGGTGTGATCCCTTGTGAGGGTGCGCGGCCCCCGCCCCCCGCCCGGCTGCTCCTCCGCCGGCACAGGTGTGCTGCATACCACAGGCCGGGGGTCACGTTCACCGGGGCTTACTAGCACAAAGGGCCCTCTTTTACCCAAACCGCGCGCGCAGACGTATTTCTTTGGATGTGTGTGCACCCCTCCTGCCCCCCGGGGCCCCCCAGCCCCCCACCCCCAGCACTCACACAGACACGCACCATCCCGGTCGCAGTGAGGTCGGAGGCTTCGGGGGCAGGGTCTCCGAAGGAACATTTAATCCACCTGCAAATAACTTTCTTTCTTTGGACAAAAAAAAAAAATTAAAGGGAGACTGGAGACTCTTTGCATTCACCGGAGCGAGCACGAAATGTTTTAACTTTCTGCTCTTGTGTTTTCTCCCCGACTCACAAAAATGAAGCAATGGTCAGATGACCCAGAGGAGCTGTTTGAAATGCCAGGGAGCTCTAATGCTGTTAGAGATGAGGGGCCAGGGGGGCCCCACCTTTGCTTTTGGGAATTCCAGGCTGTCTGGACCTACAACTTGGGGCTTAGAGCCAGGGGCTTGCTGTGAGCATGGCTTCCCAAGAAGATATTTATCTCCAAGGCTCTTGGGCCACCATCCAGCATGATCCGAATCCGGACCCATGTAGATCCTGACCTGGGCATGACCTGGGCAAGACCCAACGCTTGTCAGGCTTAGGCTCAGATGAGCAGCTGTAGTCCAGAAACCCCTCTGTGGCCACTGCCTAGCTTTTGGATGAAGCCAGAGTATCTTTTTCTCCACAAATCTGCCAGACATCTGGCACTTGCATGCAGGACCACTTATGGGACTTGTGGGCCTCAGTTCAAAATGAAAACATACAAGATGAAAACACGAGGGGCTTCTTGATGGGAACTGCTGAGAATTTTTAAATGGCAGCAGGAAAGCCTTGACCTGGAACCTGCCCTTCTGAGCATCAGGCCCGTGAAGCCAGCCCTGCTGGTGGAGAGGATACTTTTCTCCAAAATAAAACAGGTTCATAAAACAGGTTCCCAGCCTGTCTCCTCCAGGAGGAATCACTTAGGTTCCACATGAACAGGGATGAATCCAGTGGCTCCCTCCCGAGACACAGGCAAGCTGTCTTCCCAGATCTGTGGACTTAAGGCTGCCTCTGGTGGTTGTCAAGAGAAGTTTACATCCCAAACCTGCTAATCAAGGTGAGACGCCCCCCAGGAGATGTTGAGCAGGGACCAACCGAGAAGGTGGCCTTGGGCGACAGGACCCAGAAACACCTACAGGTGGCAGGAAGGTGTGAGCAGGAGCATGACCAGGGAGAGAGAGGGCTCTGGGTTTTCAGAGACCGTACTTGGAAGGCATCCAGCCCTTTTACAGAAGAAACCAAAGCCAAAGTCCTGTAAACAACTGGTTGCACGTAGCTTTCTTGGGGATTTGGCAAGGGAATTTTAATCAGCAGGGGCCACTCAGGTGGGCGGCTCTGTCCCCACAGTTGAGAGGATCTCAGCTGGGCGTGGAAGGGCAGTAGTCACGTACCATAAGAGCAGGAAAGGCATGTCCCCTGGAGAGGCAGGAGGGAGCAGGGACTTGGTCATCTTGCCATTCGTCACACCTCCCTCTCCTCTGTTGCTGCGAGGAAGCGCAAGAGCCACATGTGGCCTCTCATGGCTCAGGGTGAGATGTCAGGAAGCCTTGGGGCCCTGGGAACCTGCAGACTACCCTCTGGGGGGCCCTGCCACTCTGCTTAAGTGGCGTGGAGACACCCAGCTTCCTTTGCTGGTTTCCAGGAGGGACAGGTGCAGGCAGACAAGGGTGTGGTTCCATCTTACTATTTCTAACACTGGCTGGCCTTGGTGGCTCTGTCTTCCCTCCGAGCTTTGGGCAGCAGCTGTCCCCAGCCTTGGTGGGACCCTGAGAGAAGAGCCCAAGGAAGAGAGAGCTGTGAGGACAGATTCTGCTCAGAAGGACGTCTGTATAGTCCTGCCAGGGAAATGTGGCAGGGTGGGGAGTGGGACCAGGTACCTCCTGCCTGGCATGGAAAGAGAATGCTTCAAGGACCCTGACACCTGATTGGTGAGGAAAAACACTACTTGGCGGGTCCTGCTTCCTGATTGGTGAGAAAAACACTGTGTGGCGGCCCCTGCATCCTGATTGGTAAGGGAAAACACTACCTGACTGATCTATTCTCTGGTTGATGAGCAAGAAGAATATGACCTAAAAGGTCCTGCCGTTTCTTTGGTGCAGAAAAGCATCCTCAGAAGTTCTAGATCTTTCCCTTCTGCTCTCTTTTTTCTGATGGCAACTCCTCAGGGCATGTTGGAACTCTAGGGGACATTTCCCAGCAAATGGAGACCCTGAGATCTTGGGGGGCAGGTGAGGGTGGGAGTGGGGACCAGCTGCAGGAGGTCAGATGCCAGCAGAGGGTTGTGTACCCTTGAGGTCTTCAGACGGGAGTCTCTCTGTCCCCACCACCTCCACCGAGTCTGCCCATCTGAGTGGGTTGCACTCAGAGGCCTCTGAAGTCCTGGAGGCGTGCAGCCACCCCAGCCTCATGGGGCTGACCTCGGGGAGCTCCCTTGTAGCCTCTGATTACGCACTTCTTTGCTCTGTTTTCCGAGGCATTTCACTGGGGAGCTGGGGCAACTGGCAGAGGCAATTCCTGACTCAAGACTGCAGGTGACCTGAGGGTGCTTGGGAATGGCCACTGGGGTCCTCTTTACCCTTGACTTCCCAGGGCCTGGGAGGATCCCCAGGCAGGGGCCTGAGGCCACCCAGGTCCTGCTGGTGA